GGGGCGTTTGGAGCAGCGCCGGTTCCCCGGCCCCTCGGTCGGCCGCACCGTATTTGGGGAGAGAGAGCGCGAGACTTCCCTCCTGGTATTTGTATTTTTAATTTAAAACTTTTATCTGCTTATTTATTTTTATTTAAAAGGGAGCTGGTGGCAGGGAGCGATCGTTTGGCTCAAGCGAGACCGTCGGTGTGCTCTTGTTCCCCGGCCCGTTTCGTTCCGGCCTAAAACGACGGTCCCGCCAAAGCAGCCGCGGACCCGCCGCGACCCCGAGGGGCGAAAGCGCGCTGCACCCCGCGCCCGCGCCGCCTCCGCGCCCCCGAGCCCTTCTCGCCGTGCCCCTGCCCCGCTCCCCAGCGCCTTGAAATGGGACGGAGCGGGCGATCCCGTTCTTAGAATTATAGCGTGCGCAGAAAGCGAATTTTAGGTAATTTCTCTTTACTTTTTCTTTTAATATTCGCGTGGGGGAAAAAAAGGTCAAGCGATTTCAGTGCGCGACCCCGTAAGAGAAAGGGCAGAAATTTCCTCTACTCGCGCCAAGTCCACTCCGTTGCACTTGGGGAAGAAAACACCTTTTTTTTTTTTTTTTTTTTTGGCGTGACGTTCCCCGCGCTATCAATAAGCATCAGCTGCCCAAAAGAAACCCAAACCAAAACCCCAAAACAAAACCAACCAACCAACAAACAAAAGAAAAAAAAAGAGAGAAAGAATCAGAGATCAAGGTGTAAAAAATATCTGCTGTAAAAAAATCCGTTAAGTGTTTCTGAAGGGAGCGAAAGAGCGGGAACTGCGGAGACCTCGCCCCGCTCCGCTCTCAAGGAACCGCATTTCAATTTGCCTGTGGCAGCAGCAGCCCTTCCCGGTGCGGATCCTAAGGAGAAGTAGGTAAAATCTGCTGCTGGGACCTCTCTCTCAGCGGGCCCACGGGCGTAAAGGAGAGGGGACAGAAGCGGTCAAAATGTCAACCATTAAAAAAAATAGCTCAAGGTTTCCGTGTCTTCCCCGTTCAAAATAATAAATTCTCGAACGAAACGACAAAAATCTGCTTTCCAATAAGACAGCAGATATATGTATCAGTCTTCTTGTTTAGAAACGTTTCTCATTAATTTTTAGCCGCAATAGAATACATTTTTCGTCGGTCTAGAAGTTTAATTTGTCGATTTCTCCATGAATTCGAAATAAGGAACTGGAAAACTCCCCCTGCGCCAGACTGGAGAGCGGGAGAGGATGGCTGCTAATGCCTGAAACCTTAGAAAGCAAACGTGATGTTTTTCATAAAGCAAAGGAAATCAAGAACAGTTTGAGAAATCATTTTTAGGAGGTTGATAGACTTTAAATAAAGTCCGCGACTGTAATTTGCACAGTCACTTCATTAAACCTAAATCCTCCGCGGTATACCTTTGCTGCCGGGTGAAAATTGATTAGCGGCTCTATAATGGCCACCAAATTCCATCTTTACAAGACCCAATTAAGAGCAAAGTTTACACCTAAAGTATTTTAAACTTGCCAAATCTCCAGCGATATAGCAAAAAAAAAAAAAAAAGAAAAGGGAATTTTTATAGCGTCCCAAAGGTTCAAAACTCAAAGTCGCTGCCCCTGAGTAGCGTAGGAAATAACACAGAGCTGTTCCTTTTGCTGGAGATATGAGGTACGGGTGTGCTTACTGAGAGGCCCCAAATATTAGAGTACGAGATGGGAAATTGTGTGCTAATTTTCCGTGTGATAATGCAAATCGGTCTAGCCCGATTTATCGATCTCTTCCCATAAAACGCCTCAATTTCAGCTCAGGAGGGTCTGAGAGGGAGAAACCCATTCGCCGTGGGGAACCTAACTCCGCCAAGGGAAGAGGAAGGCTTCGCTCTCCTTTTTGCGGCTCTTTCATGTGTAGACGGGTATGGGGATTTCTCTCCCCGCGTCTGGCGGGGATTTTCCCCAGCGCGAGTGGCGCTCCGGGGGAGGGAGGTGTCAGCGGGGCGGCGTGGGTGCGCTGGACGTGTACAAAATCCAGCCTTCGCGGGGGGGTTGGGGTGGTGGGAGGCAACTCTCCTCGTTTCCCCGTTTTGGCGAAATCCCTCACCCCTTACGTGCGATTTTCCATCCGTGCCCAAACCATCCAGCCACAATATTGGCTAGCCCGAGGCGCCTTGGGTGCCCGAGAGAGCGTCCCCGCATCTTCCCCGCAGAGGCGAAGTGGCAGGCGGGGAGGTGCCGGGTCGGGGAGGGCGG